TCTGCGATGTTCAGCATCAACATCTTAATTGAGATTTGTGCGAATGAGCCTTTGTTTGTGAGAAATTACAGTATAAAGTTTGGGTTACTGGACTGTATGACAGATATATCTAAAGATGTGTTTTTCAGTGAGGCGGCGTGGCTGAGCAGACTGAGGTTCCCACGTCGAATATTTTTGAGCCGGCAGCGAGCGTTCGAATTTCGGCGATGAGTTTTCTTGTGCGATGTTTTTTTTTCTTACTTTAGGGCATGTAATTTGTTTTTCGAATATGATACATTTGTTTTGCATATATCTCGTTTTTATGCTATTAATCAGGGGTAATTAGAGAAATGTCAGGCTTGTTTAACGCAACACGAATATAGACACATATTTTGCATTGCTTACAATGAAATATATATTTAGTATATATTAAAAAATTTATATATTTGTGTTTGCGTTAAACAAGTTGACACTTTCCTAATTACCCCTTATTAATAGCATAAAAACGAGACATATGTAAAACATATGTCTTATATTCGAAAAACATTAATTACATGGTAAGAAAAAAAACACCGCACAAAGATAACTCGCCGCCAGAAGTCGAACGCTTGCTGCCGGCTCAAAAATATTCGACGTGGGAGTCTCAGTCTGCTCAGCCACGCCGCCTCTCTGAGAGACGGTTGTATCTTTAACCATATCTGTAATACAGTCCTGCAACCCAAAATTTATACTGTAATTTCTCACAAACAAAGGCCCATTAATACAAATCCCAATTAAGATGTTGATGCTTAACATCGTTAAGCTAGCGAACGTATTATATCTCGTTCAGAAATCGATTTAGCAGGTTGTGCCATCTCCTTGTGAGACATCTGTAGAACACAGATGCCTCGATGGCCAGTGTGATATCATATAATAGTTTCATTCGCACTTTCTTCATTCGAGCTTCGAATAAGCGATACAGTAATCGGACACCACTCAGTGTGGCCAGAAATCTCACTCAGTTGCACCGGTAGCATTAACACTGCTTCGGGAACAGTTCATCTGAACTTGGTTCGGAGCGTACGCGTACAGGAGCACGCTTGTGCATCCCCTGTCAATTCTATCGGTATTACCGGGCGACATTTCTGGACACAGTGACACCACTAAGCGGCATCACATCTTGTAATACTGTGTCTCTCGAAAGCGCGGCTTGCGTTAAGAATATAATATTGCAGTGCTTTTCATTACTTAATCCTTGTCTCTTCCATCTTCTCCGCGCTTCGATCGTACATACGAGTTTCATATGTATACGTGTGACGTATACATGACGTGTGACGTTTCCCTTTGTCATACACGTAGCCGCCGCCGAGGGACACCATTAGAAGTGTCAAAACTTATACTATTTTTCACAGTACGCTTCCTCATTTAACGGTTTGCATATTTTGTCTTGCAACAATACTACATTCCCGGGGAAAAAAAGTTCAGATATGGATTTTGTCAAGATCTGATCAGATATAATCAGATGTAACGTTATATATAATTCAAATCTGTATAATAATATAATATAAACATATAATATAAACATATAATAATATATAATCATTTATACAATTATATATGATTGTATATGATTATATTATATATGATTATATATGGACAGATATGAATCATATATAACGTTACATCTGATTATATCTGATCAGATCTTGACAAAATCCATGTCTGAACTTTTTTTTCCTGTTATGATCAATTGTAATAATTAAGGAAGTTGCAACTGTCTCATTTTCATAAATTATGGGCTACTTGCAGT